ATACATTCCCACTGCACCGTTATTATATAATAGGAATACGACTTACCTGAGAATTTCCTAAGTCAGGTCTGATGGTAGTCCGGATCGATTCTGTGGGTTCTAGAGTCTGCGTCATAAAAAAAACAATGGTCAAAAAATTACTGAACGCCAGCGAACAAGTGGTTTAAAGAAAAAAAATTAAATTGCTTACTCTAAACTCGGGACGGTCTTCGTTATTATTGTTCTGTTCCGTCACGTACTGAATGCCTGCTGCATCGACTACAGTTGCGGTTTCCGTGTCACCGACCCTACCACTGGTCTTTTGACACACGCGTTTTACAATTAATTCAATATTGTACATAGTTATTGTTCAATACTAATCGTGATAATATTACGTGTATTTAGCACCTACCTGAGATGTAGTTATCTCAGATTCATACAACGGCGTACTGACTAACACAGGATTTCTGTTTACCGTTTCGATCGTCGTGTAATCGACGCTGGGCGTTACGCCAKTGGTCTATAAATTAAAATTGAACACTCTTAGAATATTTTACAATCGAAACACTTATATTAACAAAGGCCTAATTCCCACTTTACCCACCCCCTTTTATTTTTAGCAGACAGAACATTTATTCACCGAGACCTAAATATTTTATTACACGTCATTTTTTTTGTGAGTACTTATTTGATAAACAAAATCGTTGATTAAAAAAGCAAATAATCTACTTTAATAACAGAATAAAGCATACTTCAATTTATTAGAATTATTGGTCATTTGTTTTTATAAGAGTTGCAACTATGAACATACCAAGGTCAGTAAATTTTTGAAACAAATACATAATACATACTTGGACGTCGGTTTGACGGCTTGGTTCAACTGTAGTCTGTACATTTTCAAATGATTCATCATCCTGTAGTGGTTTGATGGTCACCAACTCATCCGTTTCAGATGGAATCTATATAAAGAAAAGCATATTATACATTTCGATGCTTTGAACTAGGTTCCTATATTATTGTCAGCGAATCTTTGAATTTGATTCAGTTAGGCACCTTAATTTTGTTCTCGTTCTCTTTAATGATTTGRTAATTCTCCGTCGCACTTTCTGAAATCACCGCTGTTGAATATTCATCAAATTGTTTTATACCAGAGATTGTTGTCTAAAATYGTGAAAATATAGCTATAAAATTTTTTTCAATAGTTTTAAATAATAATTTCATAACCTAACAAAACGCATCGATTACCTATCGATTAATCGATAAATTTCAAGTGCATACATTATAACTATTTTATAGCAACACCCACCTATGTTACAGCTTGTATTGTTTTTGTCACAAAAATTTTGTGCATTAAATATTACAATAATTCATTAATAATTCATACCTGGAAAGCTAGTTGGTTGTTGTTACTTTCAGTGGTTTCTCCAGGCCCGTCATAATATGATACCGTTGTTTGAATGTTGCTTATAGTTGATATCTGGTTTAAAAATATATTTTTTAATAGTAATTACTAATTATACAAATAGAAAGTGATAAAAAAATATTACGGGTTGTGTGACTGATGAATTATTTTCTGTGTCATCGATTACGGTAGATTCTGCACCGAATGTAGGATTTCCGACTTCAGTCGTAATTTCCTAATAACATAGATTAACACAATTAATACTAAACTATGTGAGTCATATAATTATATAATCAATACAACGTGCTATACGTTCAAAGTAACATGTTTTGGAAGTAAAAAATAAAACATCATCATACAATACTTACTTTTGCAATAATAAATTACCATTTAAAATTGACTTGTAAAGATAACATCTAATGCCGATAAATAATAATAATAATAATTAATACAAAAGAATAAGTAATAACCTACATATACGGCTAAACTATACAATACTGTACACAATTTTCGAGCTTACCTTGGCATGATCTTCGTGGGTTACTGTATCAGAATATCTTCCCTTA